AATTCTGGGAGTTGAAGTCCACCCATCTTAAAGGGGCCGAGGTTGAGAAACACTTAGAGACTGAGGGGGTCAGGAATAGAAAGATGCCATCCTGCCCATTGGGCATCCATGGGAAAATGGGGGGCTGCACCCCCCTCAATATTATGTCTATCAGCTTGCAGTAGCTTTTACACTGATCTTCCCTGGAGATGCCAGGAGCTGTTGCTTGCAATGCTAAACAGAAGGCCACCCCCCACCCCCAATTTCTCCCTTGATTCTGCATTTCATTGGATCTGGTGATCAACACACACTCAGATCTGAGGAAGGAGGGAAGGAAGGAGGGAGGGAGGGATCCAGTCTCCTGAGAAAAGGGCCTGGTATTTTTTTCAGTCTGGAGAAGAGGCACAGAAGAGGAGATGCACTTTAAAGACATCAACTCAGGGGCAAATGTATATATTTGTTTATCATCAAAAAAGAGGACATTTGTTTGGATATTGCAAGGAAATATAGGCCCTGCTTCGAAAGAGAGCGTCAGCAACTCCTCAGACAATTTTGGGGATTCTCGTCCTTCCACTTACGTTCCACCCGAATCAGCTGGGCCAAGGGATCCCCTCAACCCCACCCCACGAGCTCTGCGGTGGGCTAGAGACCTGAGTGTGGGCCTCCATGGCCCCAGAGCATCTTTTCTCTCAATGCCTTTTGAACTGGGCCTACTAGTCTCCAACCATTTAGAAGGGTGCGGGGCTCAGTCAGCACGGCCGCAACTGCCCTCTTGCCCTTTCTGCCCATCCTTGGCAGACGATGGCGTCTACTAGGTACCTTACTCTCATCCCAAGCTTTGGAGGTGCTTTACCAAATAGCCCCAGCAAGATACGAATCTCTGCATACATGGGGATTAACAGAATGAGGCACTCGTTCTCCTCCTTGTAGAGTTAAGTTTATGGAGGACGTCCTATTGAGAGGAACTTGCTCTGCCTGGTAAACAGGATATCAGTGTTTAGGTACAATCTACCCTGAGAGACCAGTGGCTCGGCAGAAACAACAGGAAGTTCTTATATGGGGAGAATTTCACCGCATTACGTGGGAAAGCGTGCAGAAAGGTAGCCTTTATGGCTTGATCCTGCTGCGAGATTCTTCCATTTGTAACTAGTTTTCTCAGATACCAAACGTGGGAGAAACGCAGGTGTCTTTGTCTCATGCTCAAGAAAAGCCACCACGTGCGCTAAAGCAAACACCTATCCATGCGCCGCTATGAACTAACAAGAAGAGTCAGAGACGTGGTTTTGGGTTTTTTAGCAGCATGACTTTTTTTTTCCTTGCTTTTTGTTGTTAGCTTAACTTTATTTATTTCAAGTTAGGAAGATTGGCTCTCAGGTGTAACATACGCTGTTGGTGCGCTTTAAGTTTCTGCCAAGGTTGCCAAATGAACTCCCTTTTTTCTGCAACAAAACGAAAAAGAAAACAATAACCTGAAACTTCCTTTGCTTTATCAGCTGAACCGTTTGTGGTTTAACACGGCAAGAATGCAAAGAGGCCGGCAGACAAGATCCTGCAAAATCCACTGAGGAAAAACACTGAGGTTTCTGTAGTTTTCTTGAGCCCCTAAATCCCAGAAAGGAGGTGCTCCCAAGGCAAGCTAAGATCTCTGCTTCTGCTGATCCCCGTGGCTGTGGGAAGATGCAGAAATGGTTCCCAGAAATCACCCCCTAGTCTCCATGCACACAATATTGGGCATTTGCTGCTGTAACCTGTCCAGACCGGGTCCCAAAAGCCCTTGGGGCGGTTTGCTCTCTTGATGACCAAAGCAACATCTTTTTGCATCCTCAGCTGTCAACTAATACACTTCTTTCCCCCATGCTTCAAGGCAAAACAAAATTAGAGATAGATTCAACGAGAGCTCTGCTCCTTTAACTGTGGAGGCCACGAGAATGAAATGTCACCAACAGGGGATCCCCAGAGTTAATGCTTATTAGATCAACTTCAGTATTAACCAGGGAAAACTCTGCATGCTGGAACTTCCCGGTCAAACCAATTTACTGGATTTCTCTGTGTGCGGCAGTCACCAAAGCCCACGCTTGCTGGTAGGCGATTTAACCAAATCCGTTTGAGGGACGATCTCTAAACAGTTCCAGATACCAGGATGGATAAGTTGTATTTGAAAACTCCATCTGGACAGGAGCAAGAGCCAAAGGAGGTCACAGCACCCTGCTGTCCACCTCCTTTGCCTCAGCCCACTCCCCCCTTGACCAGTCCTGGCGCTGTGAGGAGTTAAGAGGGCCCCCAGGTCCCGCAACCATCGACAGCCATTTCCACCTTACAACTGCTGCAAACATCTGTTATAACACTGTTGGTAGATGGGGTAGAACCTGGGCAATCTGCTGGCAGAAGGGACAGGAAGGGTCGAACACAAATATCAGCTTGTCTCCCTTCCCTGATTCATTCTTGCCCATCCATCCATTCAGTTACATCTTTACCACTTTTCCCGTGCCAAATACAGCCTAAACCCCAACTATGCACGTCTGCTACTTCCTTACAGAACAGAACAAAAACAATCAATTGAGCATGACGTGCCAAGACTGAGAGTGTGCGCGCGCGAGCTGTTCAGTGTCCTTCAAAACCAGTCACTGCCAATTACGTAATTTAAAAAGAAACCATCGCTTGATACCACATTTGGGGAGGGGGGATGGCTGATACTAAGAGTTCAAGTTGTGACCCGCTTCTTGCAGGGCTGGATAAACTTCTAGTCTTTGATGCCCACCTGCCCTGAAGGATTAAGGAAAGGGAGGACAGATGTTAAGTAACTGGGAAGCCACAGTGTACACATTTTAAGTGGCCTCTGCTTGATTTGGTGGCTAGATTTGGTGGGTTACTAGGCATGATTTTTAATGGGAAGTAAACCTGGACAGGCAGCACAGTGCTAAATGCACATAGGTTTCCTTTGGCTTCTGGGAGGTTTTGAAGAGCATTGCATCCTTAACCCTTACAGAGTCTGCAAAGAGCTAGTTTGGACGAGGAAATCCTGCGGAATCGCCTCCTGCTCCCAGGCCCTTCCAGAAGAATGGGGCCATCCCAGGTGAAAGGATGTAAAAGAACAGCGTTCTTGCCAGTTATGGTGTCAAAAGACACCATCTCATTTCTCTTTTCCGGAAAGGGAAAAAAGGAGGGGGGGTGGCTTGACTCTAAATTTCAAAATTTGGGGAACCTTTCACAGCCTGGGCTGCCTACGGTGCAGGGCTCACTCCACTGAAAAGAAAAACCACCAGCCAAATAAAAATAAAATTATCACTACCAGCTTTGAAAACACTCCACAAAATCTTAGCTGACATTAAGTGACCATTCGAAGCAAGAAATGAAATCCAGAAGAAAAAAAAAAGATCAAACCTCACTGCACCCAACTTGGTCAACTGTGCCGAGAGCAACTAAATAACTTGCTGTTGAACATGAAGATGGACTGTTCTCCCCTAGTTACGAGGCTGAGCCGAAAAAAGAGCAACTTTAAGACTTGGTGGGGTTGCCTTTTCCATTCTTACATCTTCGAGGAGGAGGAAGAAAGGGTGCAAACGTAATAAAAGCTTATCAAACTGGGAAGCTGAAAGCAGGTCATGCAAAACGCTCACCTCTCTTGCACACTGACATTGTGGGACCAATCACAATCGGATCCCCCATCTTCCCTCCCCTCCCACTTCTCACTGTTGACATAAGGAAGATGGAGCAGGCTGATGACGGATTTGAGGTGGTTTTGAGCAATGTGTCAGCCCTAAAGGTTTTCTCAGGGCATCCTGGCAAGGCTCCAGCAAGGGCCAGGAAGCTGAATCCGGCCAACTTTTTTGCTCGTGCAGTGTCCCATAAGAGGAGCAGATGATACAAAACGAGAAGGGGCCTAAATTCAACTCCTTGGCCTTGTCTGGAAGGCCAGGCAGAAACATTTGAGACATATTAGGAAGGGGCCTGTGAAGGGGTAGGGCCTGTCATCTACCCAAGGAACCTGGATGGCGAGGCCAACTGTGGGTTGGGCGAAAGATGCCTCTCCACGTCAGGGGCTGGACAGAAGAAAGAGCGAGACCGCAGAAGCCAGCCGAGTGCAAATGAAAGCTTTTAAAATTCAGACCCCAGGAAGACCGTGAGTCTCAGTCCTCTCCCTGCCAACGGAGGCCTAGGAAGAGATCGGTAGGGAGTACAGTCCTTCTTGGCTAATGGAGTTCAATGAAGGCTTCCAGCTCTTCAGGGATGAAACCCTTATAAGGGATCTTGTGTTTATCCAGCGCTCGGGCAGCAAGGCACTGTAAGGTGATGTAATTAAAAGGCTGCATCATGGCCTTGGTTAGCTGCTTCTCATCAAGGAGCTCATAGGCGGTCTGCTTGAAGGCGTTGGTAGCATCCATGTGAGCTCCGGCCTCCATGAGGGCGCTCATGATGAGGGGGCAATTGTTCTGGGCAGCCACGTGCAGCGGGGTGTTGTTGTCATAATCCCGGCTGTCGGGGTCGGCCCCGCACTCCAGCAGGAGGTTCACCACGTGGAGCGAGGGGAACTTCCCCACCGGGTAGCGGCCGACGGTGGTGGTGTCCCTGTCCACCGCCATGTGCAGAGGGGTGAAGCCGTTCTTGCCCCGGGGATTGCACTTCAGCAGGCGGTAGATGGTTTGGCGCTTCTGGTGCTCCTGCTCGGGAGTGCATTCCACTTTTTCCAGCAGAAAGACCAAGTGGAGGATGACAGCCAGGGCTTTGGTGAACTGGGAAGCATCCGCCACCGGGTCCTTCCGGTGCAGCAGGGCCCTCTCAATCTCCCGGACCCCTTTGCCCAGAACACCCATGAGGTCAGAGAAGCCCAGCTGGGTAGCTAAGGTGCCCTTAGAGCGGTCCTGCAGCACGTACGAGAAGAGCTCAGCAAAGGAGAGGAAGCTGCTGGCCGTCATGGGGCTCAGGGGCTCCAGGTTGCCCTGCTGCATTTCCAGGGCGTACTTCCACAGGTTGATGCACCGCTCGAAGTTACCCGAGTCGGCGTAGACAGCCCCCCGGTAGCGGATGTAATACGAGGTGTCCGGGTGAGAAGGGCCAAGGACACGCTCCCGGATCAACAAGGCCTGCATCCGCATCTCGTCCGGGTCCGTGACCAGCGCCTCCAGTTCCTCCATGGTGCGCGCCTCCCGGCAGTAGTCGTAAGCCGGCACAGGCTGCTGCGGCTCCGGCCGGGAGAGGGGCTGGCCCCCACGGTGCCGCAGCTCCATCGCCCGGCGCCAGTGCTTGAGGGCACCCAGCAGGTCGCGCCTCTTGTCCACCAGGGTGGCGCCCAGCAGCTCCAGCGCCTCCACCGCGGCCTCGCGGGTGCAGGGCACGCGGGGCCCCTCCTCCTCCTCCTCCTCCTCCTGCTGCTCCTCCTCGGCGCCCCGGATGAGGAACTCCACGACGCCGGCGTGCCCGGTGACGCTGGCGGCCAGCAGCGGGGTCATGCCGTAGCCTGCGCGCTCCACGCGCGCCCCGCGGCGCAGCAGCAGGCGCAGTATCTCCAGGCTGCCCGCCTCGGCGCAGTCGTGCAGCGCCGTGTTGCCCTTCAGGCTGCGCCGGTGC